ATTCATATATGTCTTACTCTTGGATTTGTTTTTAAAATGTGTTTTTTCCTCTAAAGGATCAACAAATTGATAAAGCAACCTCCAAGGCCACATCTTATTAGACAGCAAGCTGCCTTCTTTATTATGGGAGTAAATAATATTCAAAAGCTTCAGAAAGGCCTAATTTTTTGCCCTTGTATCCACACCAGAAATTGAACACAGTTTATCTACCTTGATTTGAGATTATGACACTGAATTGAAGAAGAATACTGTGTGAAAATGGTGTTTAGTACTTGTGGATCTTTATAATTTCAACAGTTTACAAATAACATCAACAAATTCATCTAAATGGCATTCCTATTATATAACTATGAAAAAGACTATCTGCTTACAAGAAAAGGAGCCCAGGATTTGAAAAGATTCAGTCAGTCTAGATCAGGGCTTTAACTCGAGCTTCATGGGGACTGTCAACTCCTGGAAAGAAGTTTGTAATAATTTTCTAAGGGGTAGATCTATTCAATTCACAAGCTTTCCAAATTATGTGGAAAAAAATTCTGTGAACCAGTGTGGGTGACGAAGCGCTGTTCTCCACGAATGCTTAAGGTGCATTGCAGACTCAGTTGTGGATGATTTCAGTTGTTGCTCTTTGCACTCAGACTTTTCAAACAAGTGTCAACTCTGATACAGGAAAACAAGGATGAACCCTATTAAAAGTTGTCTGTTCCCGTGTCTGCATAAAGCAAAACATTCCTGCAAGGGTGAAACAAGTGTGGAAAGAATGACTCCCCCACGTTTAGAGACGCCCATTGATCTTGCCCGCCTAGCACCCTCGTTGGGTGGGAATGCCATGGTGTCTGTGCGGGAGCGTGTCCTGCTCACCCAGTGTAGTCCAGTGTGCAGGTAGACCCTTCCTACTTCTGCCTAATCACTGCACGGGGCTGTCCAGAGTGCTGGGCTGCTGTGCTCCCACGGTTCCCGTTGGAGTCCACGGGGGACTTTTCCTTGGTGTCACGGAGGAAGAGGAGCTGTCTCTCTGCTGTGCTGCTGCATTGGGCGAATGCAAACGAGAGACTGGTAGGGGCCAGCATCGTGGGAAGAGTCTAAAGGCAACCTAGAAAACTGTTTCATCTTTCCTTGTCTTAAGAATATGACTTTGGAGTCCTTGATTGGTCAGTATTGCATGTCTCTATCTGTTTTCATGAGAAACCACTTTGAAGATATCAATGTGTAATGCAACAACCCTTGTTAATTTCCTACCGCTTTGTAACTCCGTATTGTCTGTACTGTTCTTTTGCTATTTTATAAAAGGTTGTCTGTCTGTTAATGTTTTCCTCCTTTTATTTTTAAAATAAAAAAAGAATATGACTTTGGACAAATCCAAACCAAAACACCGGTGCATGAACATCACATTGTCTGAGATCCCTCAACATTATCTGTTCTAGACAAACGTCAGCGTCTTGGTTATTTCCGTTACGTATTTCACCCGCGTATGTTTACCCGGACAAAGCCTCGTGCATCTACGCTCCTCCTGTAGAGCTCTCCAGCCGGGGAGGTGCCTCTCAGTTGCTTCCACATCATCTTTTTTGTCCCCCGTAACGGCACTCACTGCATCACATTATACTGAAAAACGAACGATGGGGAGACCCATGCCCCTCCCCGTTTCTACACACGCAACTGGATAGGAAGATTTAAAAGAGCAAGAAACATGCCTGTCTTTTCACTAATTATGCCCCCAGTGCTGGACACACAGAAGGTCCTAGCAAAATTATTCAAAACAAAACAGAAGTTGAGAATTATCCTTCCTTACATGAGGATACCTACCATTCCCAGTCCTCACCCACAGAATCACAGGGACTGGAGACGGCAGCCACACATGCACAACATGACTCTGAGTTCTCAGTCGGCTTTCAGAAATATCACACAAATACACTTTGGATGATTGCTGTGTTTTCCCAGAGTAACCCTGATAGAACAAACAAATCTTACGAACACTGACTGGGCCACTCTGCAGTCATAGCCTATATCAATGAAGATGTTATCCATTACGACGGTGGACATTCACTTCTTTGGGGTAATTCTTCGGGAAAGACAGTGTTTTCAAAGTCAGCAATCCTCAAGGGTGTGATGATCGACTGACACGCACATCTGAGACCCTCCTGATTATGAAGATTCTGGGCCCAGATGTTTGGTTTTCCTTTCAACCTCCCTTTCCACATTTGAACAACCATCTAACAGACTACCTCTCATATAAATGTTATGAATGTTGCCGTAATTCACATGAATAAGGTTTAGACTTCTAAGATGAGTTTTATTTTCAAACCTGTAACTTGCATCCTCATTTCCCAAATACAAAACAAAAAAACCTAAAAAGGCCTTGGGAATACTTGTTGTGTGTAGGGCCTTAGTCAAATTACCTATCTTTCCTTTTGTCTTGCCAAAATGTGTTAATATAAATGCGTTGGGAGTGAATGTAGGGTGAACTGCAGATGTAGGATTATGAAAACCCATGCTGATAGGAGAAGCACCCAAAAGGAGCTGGAACAGATCATTTGACCATTTTTAAATTTATCTGGTATTGAAAATTTTAAAAAACATGATGAACATATTTCTTTTAAAATGTTTTTGCAAAATTATATAAGCTACTGTATGCACAAAGATTTCAAGTTCAAAGAGATTTTCAAGCTCATAATGAAAATTGAGAATGTGTGCTCTTCACATCCCAGTGATAATTCCTGTCCCAGAAGTAGAATCATCAGTTCTTTTTAGCTGATTCTGCTGGGGTTCACCTCATATCTTCAAACAACATCCTTTGCTATTTTTGGACGGGTTATTAGTTTAGATACTATTGGCTATATGGAGTACCACATAAATACGTGGTAGTTTGAACCCTTCCAATGCACATTTATCTAAATTTTTGGTTAAATCAAAAGTTTATATATTTATAAACTGTCAATGCATATCGGGTGTGAGGATTATTTTCTCTTGATCTAATTCTGTTTTTCCTGGAGTTAATAATGACTTTCTTTGCCCTTGTCTCAGTTTTCTGTGGCCTATTGCTATTTGCCCGCAGAATCTTTGGTTGGCCAGTGTGACACACACTGGAATACAGCAGCCCCCTCCAAGACTCGGGTGCCCACTGTGCAGGCCGGTCTCCCGTGGAGGGAGGTGTCCTTTATGGAGCCCTCATCTTTCTGCTGTTCTCTAAAGTAACAGTTCCTGGGACTGAAATTTCCATGTCTTCATCATCCTGGGAGTTCTCTTGGTTTTACCCTTATTGGATGTCAGGTTTCTTTAATTGCTGTGCAATCCTGTATTGTTCTGTCATGGTTCTCTCTCTGTGTCTCTATCTCTCTCTCATTTTCTCTTTTGTTGATGCAAATTCTCAATAGTTTCCTGAGAAAATGTATATATGAGTGAATTTATTTTTAATATTTAGGAGAAAAATAAGGTTTAACAAGACCACACTTCTCTTTGTTCTGCTCTCCTATCTGGCTGATAGTCAAGAAACATCGATTCTAGGTCAGAAGTTTTTTTTCTCTCAATTTTCAAGCAGTGCTTCTTTGACAGCTAGTGCCTGGTGTGGTTCTCCCAGGCTTGATTCAAAAGCGAATGCAGCCTTCTGCTCCCTCCCCAGCCCCTCTGGGGAAGCTTCCTGTCTTCACCCTCACTCTTCTGGAACTTCACCCTGCAGTGGCCCCGTCCCCAAGGAGCTAAGAGCTCCTTCGATCATTTCAGCCTAGAAAATTATGTCTTGTCATCAGTCCTAAGAAATTCCCTTGTATTTTGTTCCTCCAGAACTTCCATTTTTGTGATTGGGTTTCCTGGGATGACTACTTCTGTTTTCCATTTCCTCTTCCTTTCCCTTTTGGCCACTTGCATTATTTTCTGGAAATTTTCCTTTTGTTTTGTCATCTGAGCTCTTACTGAATTTGAAATTCCTGTGATCATATTTTAATTTCTTGGATTTCTTAAGTATTTCTTTTCACAGTATCCCATGTTTGTTTCCTTCCTTCACACCTCTCCATGGCCACTAATTATACATTTCTTTATGACGATTTCTTTGGTTCCATGAAAACTTTCTGTTTCCTGGGTGCTTCGTTGATTTTACATTTTTTTCTTAAAGATTAGGCATCTAGCTTTCATGTTAAAAGTTTTCATACATATTTGGTCCTTCTCTATTTTGGTCAAAATTTTGGTCAAAACTTCATACATATTTTGGTCATTCTCTATTTGGTCAAAACTGTACAAAAAAATACTCTCTATGTGAGAAGAGTAGAAATTGGGAATTAATGATTCCTACCTAAACTCTGTACAAATCCTCTGTGTCCAGCCTCACCCACATCCAACTTCCAGGCATCCACTCTGCCTCCAGAGTGGCTTCCTTTTCACCACCCTGTGAATGGAAATCAGCTTGTGCTGATGAATACCCCTGCAGGGAATTAACTTCCCGCTTTCCCTTATGAACTAGGTCAATTTCCTCTCTCAATGGTTTACAAAAATTTATTGACTGATCCTTTTGCTGTTTCTTTCTCAATCTCTCTATCTCTGTCTCTCTCTCTCTCATCTTGTATTTAAATATTTTTTTTAAAAAAGCTCTTTTCGTAGCATTGCAAAATTTCAGTAGAGAAGGCAAGCTCATAAGATCAGTTATGCCAAGATATTCCAGCCCAAACTCTTCAATATACCTTTGCTTTTGTTTTTAGAATTACTCGTACTGTGTATATGCATTTTAATCTCAATAATACGTCATATATTGTAAAATAAAATCATAAGTGGGAGAATCATAAAAGTGCTGTAATTTGGATATGGCTTGGTTCCTATGTGTTAGGAACGGCCCTTAGTGAGGTGGGAGTAAGAGGCGGGGCCTGGAGGAAGGTCACTGGTCATTGTTTGCACCATTGGAAGGGATGAATGTCGATCTGGAAGGACCCTGGTTAATTCTCATGAGTACCAGTTGCAATAGGGCTCCCTGTCAACCGTGTGTCTCTCCCTGCCATTGTGATGCCATCTGCCACAAGGCCCTCACCATGGACAAGCAGAAGCCAGGACTAGGCTTTGGCCCTCCAGAGCCCTGAGCTAGGTAAAACTCTTTTTCTTTATAAAGTATCTAGCCTTGAGTATTTTGTTAGAGCAACTAAAAATGAATTACTATGTGAATCATATAATTATAGTCCCTGTCCTCTCAGAACACTACACTTGAGGTAACCGCATTTAACCTCTTCAACAATATAATTGAGATTCTCCCTACTGTATCAAATTTAGAAAGTATTTCTGCTGACTACACAGAGTAAGTTTTTATGTTCCTTCTATTGTTCTTCCATCTCTGTCTAGCATTTCTCACTTATATTGTAAAATTCAATAATACACTATGTTCAGCAACTGTGTTTGTTTTCATCTTTGGTCTTCACATTAATTCTTCAAGTTGAAAATGTACAAACCCCAACTATGGAATTGGAGAACCTCTTCACTGGAGAAACAGTTCTTGCTAAGAGTCTTTTTCCTTCCATGATACAACTTCCCCTCCATGTACAAGAGAATTTGTGTAATCTCGGCCACACATATGGTCTTCCCTTACATCCACCAACTGGTTAAAATCATGCCTGAGATTACTTTGCTGTAATCATATAGTCACCTTTTCATGCAGATTCTTCTTTGATTTTGAATGAATTTTACTTTTTAAAAATTGATCCTCTATAATTGCACATAGTTGTCGGCACAAGTTTATGTCTGACACTCAATTTGCCCTCCTTTTTTGCTGTCATGAACCATGCATATTCTTCACTGTATTACTAATATTATTAAGTTCCTTGCTCACTTTGGTCACGGCTTGGGTTCCAATTCATTTTTGTTCTTAAAGATACATGTCCCTCCTCTGGCTCCTCACCCACCTGTTCTACTAATTGCACTTTTTGCCAACTGCTCAGTGGTTATCCTGATTCCTGAATTGTTCCTATCATGTTTTGTATCCTATCTTCCTCAATCTTCTGAAGTCTATCCTCAAATAATCTTCTCAGAAATGGAATATGTGAAATAAAACTCCTGTAAATGTATGTGAAGATGTCTTTATTTTGTTCTGATCTTTTCTTGGTTGTTTAGCTGGGAATGTAATTCTAGGTTTAAAAATCATGTTTTGCACTGACAAATTTGAAAGAGAAAATGAGCCTTCCGTTGTTTTCTAGCATTCAGTATTGCTGATTGGAAACCTTGTTCCTGGCGACTAGAAAACTCTGACACTGATTTCTAGTCTCTCATTAAGTTATTGTTCTGAAATTTTACAAATATGTACAGTCCCAGTAAATTTTTTTTTTTTTGTCTTTTTGAGACACAGTGTCACTACACAATTCAGGCTGGCCTTGAACTCAGTTTACAGTGCAGGGTGGCCTCTAATTCACAGCGATCCTCCTGTCTCAGTCTTCTGAGTGTTGGGATTACAGACATGCACCACCATGACTGGCCTGAATGTTAATTTCAGCCCAGCATTCATAGCCTCTCTCCTGCCCAGCAGAAACCTGGCTTCCTCAGCCCTCACATGCCCTCACTATTCAGGGGAATTTGCTCATCATGCTGTAGGGATGATCTTTAATTCTAATCCTGTGACATAATTTCATATTCCTTGTTAGCGATTAATTTAGGAATGGGCAAAGGACCCAATTCTGGGCAAGAAAAGAACTCGTTGGAGTTCTTTTGGGAAAGCTTTCTTTGTTCTTAAGACAGAATTATGGGATCTTGTCTTTCTTTCTCCTTCTAGAATTAGACAATGGCAAATATGCATTTCTCTCCCGTCTTCCACTTTTCACATGAGGAAAGCTGCCTAAAACAAACCCAGCCACCAGAAAAGAGACTTGCAGTCAGACATAGTAGAAGCTTGTTCTTACTAGGCTCGGCATGTTCTATGCTTTTGGATTTCCTGTGCAATGAGATGTCTTATTGTTTGGAACCATTTCTGTTAGGTTTTTGTTACTGATACCAGAAAGTATCTTAACTGATGCAAAGCTGTAGAAAGATGAGTCTTTTATCTTGCATTCTTGAGTCGTGCGGGCCGGGAGGAGGGGCGGAAGTGTCCATGGGGAGTGTGAATTTCATCCTGAGTTCTGGTGGTGAAGTTTTGCAGACAGACTTTCAGTTCAGCCCACTGCATCATTTCTACCTTCATTGAGCCTGCCAGTTGTAAATCTACCTCTTTAGATGTCAGATACATAGCACACTATCATCACTGTGACTCAAGACAAAGTCCCTGGTTCACATCTCGGTTTGTCTACTTTTTAGCGGTTAATTTTTTGCACAGTATTTAATGTTTGTGTGCATCAGTTTACAAAAATAGAAACACCGTGCTGTCTACTGCAGACTCTAGTTGTGCATGTTAAATGTGTTAATATATGTAAAGGGCTTAACATGTAAAAAGTGTTGTTTAATTATTAGCTACTCACAGGTTACCCCAAATCTTTTCTCAGCTTATTTTGTACTAACAGAACCCTAATCTTGTTCATGCTATTCATGTCAAGGTTGTGCTAATTTTATGAGGCTACCTTCCAACTAGATTTGGCTGTATCATGTGATTCAGGCCAATGAGCTACAAAAGGAAAGCCGCCGGAGACACTTCAGCAGAACCTAAAATGCTACTGCTCAAAAGCCAGGATGCAGTTCCTTCTCCTCCCACATCCTCCTACATCAAATGGGACATGAAGCTTGGGTATTAAAAAGCTGCCTTGCAATCATTAGAACAAACTCTGTACACTTGGAGGATAGTTGGAAGGCCAACTATGATGCCTCTCATCAACTATGATACCTCTCTGTGTATTACTCCTGAACTGTCTCTGGAATCACCACCCAGTGGAGGAAGGGATGAGATACCTGTTTTGTGAAGCCATGTTGGATTTTTATTACCTAGAGTCAAAGACAAACTTAAATTTTACCCAGGGGACCTCCAAGACAGGGTGTTGCTTTCCTCTTACCTTTCAAAATCCTGGCTTTTGGAAGACTATGGTTTTATTTGTACTTCAATATATTTCTATCCTCTTCATGTTTTATAAAATGCTTAATAAAGCATGCATAAATTTTGAGTGACTTCTTCCCACCTTCCCTGCCTTTAAAGCCTGTGCCTTTTCTATCATTGTGCTTGTTTCTCTAGAGGAAAGACAGTGATGATATCACCTATTCTGAGGACTGTAAACTTTAAGCTTTGAGTCCACTGAATAAAGTAAACCTGAGTCATTTGCAGGAAAATGGTTGCACCTTGAAACCATAGCATTAAGTGCAATAAATCAAAAACACAAGCTTAAATATCACATGGTTTCTCTTTTATGAAAAACTCAAAGTATAAATAAAGGAAAAAATAAGATAGATAACAAAGTAGGGAGATCTTTTTCAAAAGGGAAGGCAGCCAAGAGATAGTGGCAGCAGGGAAGGTGGGGCAGGAAAGGGATGAAAATAGGAATTGAGGTGTGTTCTGTACCTTTATCAACTCCCCATCAGGAATGTAAACATCATGTGCTGAAAATACTAATAAAAATAAATAAAATGCATGATATAAAAACTATCCATTGCCAGTTTTAGGGATGGGTGAGGGCCCTGGAAACATGGAGAGCGTATATCCTGGTCCTAGGCATTTTCATATAGTTAAATTCCTGCACCACTTAGGGAATTTGATCGATCACTCAGCCTCTTTGTTCTCATTAGTGATCATTAAATTTTTTCAAGTTCTATATTTGATGTCTCTTTATTGCTAAATGCTACTTTTAAGTACTGTATCTTAGACCATGGATTTTTAAAGCGTAGGAGCTTTGTCTAAATATTTGATTTGTGTGGTGCTTACTCACCTAGACAGATTTTTTAAATGTTCTTGATAATGTTGACAATTTGTCAAATGTTGAAATGAATTTTGCTGATTACCTTTCCTGCTCTGGGATGGTGAAGAGCTCCATACCAAATAGTCTCATCTTTGAAACCAGGTGCATTGAGAATTCCTAATCCAGATGTCTGGACAAAGAGCAGGTACCTTCTTACCATGTCTTTGGTAGTTCTGGGAAATAATCCACCAGAATGGAGCACTGGCTCAGGATTTCCAGAAAAACATGGATGCTTATTATAATATTTGGCAGAAGGATATTTTGAAATACTCAACAATGTTGGGAACTTTAGTTCATGACTATGTGTTTACATATGTAGGACTGCACAACTTCATTGAAATATTCTCAATAATGTGAATTTAAATGACTAAAGACCTAAATAGATGTATCAGTTATATTTTCTGTTTCAGTTGTATCCCAAAGCCACTGTTAATCTATTTAACTTTTAAGTCCTCCTTTCCTGTAAGAATTCTACTGTCTTTGACACACACATCCTGTCCCTGTTTTTCCCAGGCTGACAGGAAATGGCCTACCATTGGTGAGTGAACAGGAAAACTGCGCTCACGGATCACTTCTCACATCAGAAACCAACCTCCTCAGCAAGAGCTATTTAAATGGTAAAAAAACACTGAAGAGCTTCCTTTTTTAAATGGTGAGGTAAAATTCCCTTTCCAGTGAAATATAACAAAACCCAGACTTTCATATGTAAGATTAACTCAATACTGTATATCTGCTATGTACCTGACCACTCCTCAGGACTAGTTCTGCTGCTTGGATAACTACCCAAAGAATGGACATGACTACTGTCTAATTTTGTCTTTCCACATTGACTGAAATTCAAAATAGAGATTTACTTAAAAAGCAGATAACTTTGTGAGAGCCAATCATTTATAATATAATGTTAACTGTCATGATTATAACTTTATGTTTTAGTGATGCCGTGAAATGGAAGCAGTATAAAGAAAGAAGACTTCGGGAAAGGAAATTAATGTGAGATTTACATCATAATGGAGGAGGAAATACCTATTGAACTATAAATTTGGCCCACAACAACTCACTCATTGATTTTCATTCCTTCATTTAGTCAATCAAATGTACTTTCTGGGTATGTATAACTCACCTCTCCATCTTTAAGAGGCTTGCAATAAAAAGAACTTGCAGCGAGAAGTAAGGTGATGGTATTTTAAAACTGTGCTGCAGGGAACACGATGGTCGCAAGAGGAGAACCTCAGAAAACTGAGTGAAGGGGAATTGTCTCAAAGGTTGGCAGTTTAGATATTTGTTACTTCAGGGCAACACAGCCTTCCTTCCTCATTTCCCTCAGAATGAACAAAACCAAGGGTACAAGCCAAACAAACTTGCATCTCTCCACTTTTTATCCACAACCGTGTCTTGCGGGGGAAACCACCCTAGGTCCATGGAACTGTCTGGTGACCAGACTGTTATGTTTTGGCAAGGTCTGTGATCAAAGCACGGGTCCGTTTCCGTGCAGCCCTGCCGCAGCTGACAGTTCCCAGTGTGAATAGTAAAGGAGGCTCATCTTGCTTCTGTAAGGAACAGTGCCATGGAGTACCGATAAACACAGAAAACGATGAAGATGTTGATTTTAATTAAATGAATGCCTCCATGCTTTTTCCTGATTCTTTTCTTTCTTGATTCTTTATTTAAGATAAAGCCTTTGTTTAATGTGATTTCCCAACAGAAGACTTCAGGTGAAACTATAGTTTTTACATAGCTAAGACCCAAAAGAAGCCCTTTCTCAGACAGGCTTTGCTAAAGGTGAGCTCTGTGCACCTGGTTGTTCTGCATTTATTATAACCTGCAGAAGACAGTGGAGCCTGGAACTCAGAGAAACAGGAGCAAGGGAAAGACTTCAGCTTATTATGCACTGATTTAAGCATAATTATGCTCACTGAGGAGAGAGGAAAGCACATTTGATTTCTAGTACAAGTATGTAGATCCTGCTCATGAAAAGCTTCAAACCATTTTTCACTAAACCCACCTACTGAATCTTGATCTCCAGCATTTCAGGGTATTACGCCCTTTGCAGGCAGATTCTTCACTAAGGTGACTCGGTTCACAGGAGGTGTTTATGATGGGCACAAGCACACTCTGGCTGGTGTCCTTCCAGGGAGGAAAGTTTGGAGGCAACGTGCACAGAGGGAGAAGACCACTGAAGATGAAGGCAGAGCGGAGCTGACTCCAGAGATTTCCAGAAAAACTGAACCTAACAGAGAAGCCCGGGTCCATTTTCCTCCCAACCCTCCGGAGGAGTCAAGCAGCCAACCCTACACCTCCTCTGTGCTTCACAATGCAGACAAGGAATTACCGTGGCACTTCTGGTGCCGTGGTAACACCCACCACCCTAGCAGATTCGCACACTGGGTCTTTTAATGCTCTTCAAAATACTGCATACTGCTCTGTGGCTCCTGGTATTAGTAATGATAACAATGGCTAGTTTTGCTTTTTGTTTTGAGCACTTCACATATCCCAAGCTTTGATTGATCAACTTTGACTCAATAGGATGAATGGAGAATGAAGGAAAGATTTCTTATTTGGGAATAATAATTATATGATTTTATTAACATTAATAATTAATGTTAAGTATATTTTATGAAGTCACTGAGGATTTTGGAATGACTTTAAAGGAGCTAATATTATTTATCGTAATAGAGAAAGTATTACCTCCAGGTACGTTACTGCTCCGACAAAATCCAAATCTATTAAGCTTTAGGGTTGATGGAACGCAACACCAAACTGCTGCTTAGGGCATGGCAAGTTTGCTGAAAACCACTATCCACTGTGGCCTAGAAGTAAACCTGCATGCTTGCTGTTTGTGTCTTGGCAAATGTGCAAATTCTTCACAGCTCTAGTATGTTTATTAGTAATGTTTATTATTAACTGTGATTTACAAATTATTATGAAGAACAATCAAGCCTGCGGGAGAATTAGCTCCCAAGCAGAAATGAAAGAGAGCTCAGGACCCCAAGTCTTTCAGAGTTGGAAAAATTAATTGCTTGTAAAGCTTGAACTAAAGACTGAGTGATAAGGCATGATAAAAATTTTTAAAAATTCTGTTAACATGACTCAGGACACAGATCACACAAGGGTTGTGTGGCTTGATCTCAGTTACCAGGGGACCCCACAGTATCCATCATTAAACTGAGTAGGAAAGAGGCATGCATGCAGGTGGGGAAGTAACCATGTATAATAGGATGGAACATTATTTTAAAAAAATAACTTATGATTACTGGCTACACAGGACTGTATCAAGCAAATAGGTCTGAAGTCTACAGAGCTTTTGAGGGAATTCTGATATCAAGGCAACCACAAGTCCACTCTTGATAGAAGTCATATTATTTAAGTTAAAATGCTAAAATCAATTCTTGAATTCCCACATATAGGAAGCAGCCTTTGAGAGCCTCTTCCCAGAAGTGCATGCTTTGCAACTCCTTCCAGATGCCACTGAGGAGCATAATGACAAGGAAGAGGCTCCACCAGGCACTACAGGGGAAAAATGCTGAGGTAAATCCTCCCAGAGAGGAAGATCAAGTGAACCTAGTAAGCCCCTCCCCTCAGGTGCACCCCTGTCTGCATGTAGAGCTACACAGTGTCACACGTGGTGCATGCAGTCACAGTTCCTGGTCACTCCAGTTTGTAACTCTCATACGTTTCCTGTTCCTCCCCTTCCCAATTTAGAAAATTTCTTGTAGACATCTTGTGATCTGTGGTGAGAGGTGGGCTGCAGAGAACTTGTTGTTTTGGCTCATAGACCACCTGGCCTTGAAAAGCTGATTGTAGACGCCATAGAGGGGATAAAGATACTGTGTCCCCAGGTGCTGCAATGTGGAGAAATGCTGTGTTATTTCCTACACAGAAGGCATGGATATGAGTTTATCTGATATGTGGGAGAAAGACTGAGACTGCTATGTTGTTGATGAGGGTAGGAACTGTGGCTAAGACCAGGCCACGTAACTGAAAAGCTATTTCTTCTTCCTGGTCACACAACACAGTTTCATCTTACTGTGCCTTATGGTCAGGTTAGGGAACATGTGACTTCATTTGGGTCCATGTAATGTGAATGGAAGTACTGTGAAACACTTAGAGACTCAAGTTTTAAAGCAATGGCACACGATCCTTTGTCCTTGCATCCCCTGTCAGTGTTGATCTTCTACATTGTTCAGGTGAACTAAAAGATGAAAGCGTGTTTGGTGCCTGGGTCACCAGCTGGGGGGAGCCTTTCAGGAGAGCTGGTGGACTGGCGTTGGCCCATGATGTGCATAAAACATGCACATGGATTCTGAGTCTGTTCGCCACAGAACAGCCAAGCCTGTTTTGCCCGAGACAGATGTCCCGCTGTCCCACTGCTGGCACTGCAGCCAGCAGACCAAATTCGATTCTGCATCCTGCGTCCACAGCACTTTGCTCTCATGGTGGCTTTCTAGGACAATTTCATTCAAACTGCGGTTAGACATTTCATCCTGATCTGGCAATCCACCAGGAACGCATCTCCCAAGGTCATACCTGGGTCACTGTGTATTTCTTACTTACCAGGGCTAACCTTTCCTCAAGAGAATATATATAACAGTTATTATTTCTATAAAATATAAAAAAAGACATTTCATCCTAGAGCCAAATAGTTTTATGTTGCATGCTCAATTTATTTGATGTCGCTACACATCAGCTCTTCTAATTTCCATGAGTTCTTGCCATTCTAGGGGTGGGGAACATGCCCGTCTCTCAGCCTTCTCTTTCTGCATTCTGGAATGGAGATTTAGGGACAGGTGTCAAGGACAGCACAGCAGAAGAAGCAGATCCTCATTTTCGATTGCCTTTGCTTTGGTGTCTTTTTGAGTTACTTTCCCCTGGCATTTTCTCTGAAATGTGAACAGGAAAAAAGAGGAGTTCAGAATCTTGCTAAAGTTAGAACTGGTGAAGAGTCTAGTACTTGGCAAAGACTTCACTCTCCCCGCCTTTCAGGTTCTGCCGTGGCTCCAAACCTAAGACCCTATTGGCTCATTTTACTTTTGGAACATTTGCCTTTATTTTCCCAGACTGATTTATGAGACTGTTTATATAGAATGAAATCTTTTCCCTATGCCTTAGGCTTTTTCTCTTTTGTATTTTTCCTTTGGACTTTGTTCTTATGGTTTTGTTTTTCTATATAAAAGATTTATCTATTCTAAGATTATAAGAAATATCTATTTTTGCTTAATTTTATAAATTTGAAATTTTAATCCATCCAGACTTAATTTTTATTTAAACCATAACATAGAATTCCAGTTAAACTTTTCCCTCTGAGTGGCTGAGTGGTTGTTGTGCCAATAGTATATATTTTTAGTAACAAAGGTTTGGTCTGTTCTCTTGTGATTGATTATTCTCTCATCAAATTCTCTCTTGTATCTTTTTCTGTTTCCAGAATCTCTCTTCCTTTCATCTTTATTTAAAAATACATCCAAAAGTGGATTACATTTTCTTTTTCTTTTTTTTTTTTTTTTGGTACCAGAAATCGAACTTAGGACCTCGCGCTTGCCAGGCAGGCGCTTGTGCCACTGAGCTACATCCCCGGCCCCATGGATTACGTTTTCTTCTGGGTTTCCTCTCACAAATTTAATTATGTTTTATTTTGCTCACATCTTTTCATTTGCCTTGCATGTTAGCTTTCCAAGATTTTGTCCATGGTCACTTTCATTGTTATTTTCATGTCTTTTCTAGAAGACCTCATCTACTTGCACAATTCCACATAGTATCTGTGTAGAAAAGACATCCCGATTATATCTCTTGCTCTGGGCGTTCTCTGATATGTCAAATTATCTATATCTCTTCTGTTACCCCATATCTGTCTTCAGCCTGTGATCATCTGACACTTGACATATCTAAAATGGCAGCTTATTATTCCTATTATCTCCTTCCTCTTTCAGCCTCAATCTGCTTTTCTTTTTGACTTTTCTCTTTCAGCCAGTAGCAGTACTGCTTGTCCCATTGCACAGGGTGAGAAAGTCCAATTCATAAGTTTTTTATGCACTTCCTTTATTATAGTTGTTGTATTGGAGAAGATGTGTGACGTACTTGTCTACAGAGCAGAGGAGGAAATGGTTTGTTCGGCTCACAGTTTCAGAGGATTCAGTCCAGGTTCACTACTCTGGGTCAGAGTTGAGGCAGAACAACATGGCGGAAGGGCCTGGCGGAGCGTAGCTGCTCACTTGATGGTTGCTGGAGAAACAGAGCACAGGCAAAGCTCACCAGACAGGAAGCAGTCAGAGAACAAATACAGTCCTCAAAGGCACACCCGATTGGCTCACCCAGACACACCCAGAAGTGTGCTTTACTAACCTAGGCATGTCTCAAGCCAAACAAGTTGACAGTCAAACTTGACCATGGTAGTTATCATGGTAAATGTAGCTAAGACACATATCTGAAATGTACATCTTAGTCCCATCCTGTAGTTCAGGACTTGCTTCCTGTTCAGTCCATGACCAAAGGCTCTGTACTAATTTCACTTTCTTCGATGTCTGCTTTCTTATCCACTCAGCCTTTATCTGGTTATAAGTATAATTTAAAGTACAGATTTGATTATGCCACCCCCCTGTTTAGGAGCACACTACATCTTTGCAATGCCAAGTCCCTTAGCATTTTGAGCATCCATCCTTGCTCTCGATCTTAACTTTCTGGTCTTGGCTTGCATTACCAGTCCGGTGCTACAACTCCTCTGGGCCATCTTTGCACACGCATCATGCTCACCTCTTTCACGCTTTCAAACACTTGTCGTCAAACCACTTCCCTTCTTTATCCCCTGGACGTGAGTACCTGATCGTTATTCTTGCCGAGTCCAATTGCCTGTCTCTCTAGTGTTCTTCTTCCCTTCCTCATGAAAGAATTCCACTTTGTCTTCATTCCCTTTCAACTTTCATAATCACATCCACTGCAAAATATTACAGTTACTTAGTTGGGTGGCTAACCCTGAAGACAGGGTTCTTTCCTCATTCACATGTGTGTGTCCACAGCGCCTAGGAGAGGGCCATCTCGTATAGCGGGTGTTCAAAATTTGTCTCTCGAATTTAAACTGGAGGAAAACCTCTAGTTGCATCTGGCTTTTAAACTTTTTTTAATATAGCGACATTCAATTTACCACATCCAGATGGATTTTGTTTCAGATGAATTATTACTCCATCATAGAGTATTATCTGGATGTGGGAATAATTTCAGGTCTCTCCCTCTCCCCCAGCTTAAGGAAATGGACTCAGTTTCTTCTCTATGTCCAATGAATGGCATGTGAATGATAGTAGACTCAAGCTGAATGATAAAAGGAACAGAATGAATTATGCCATTCCAGAAGAACTACCTGGAGACCCATCATCTCTTTCCAATCAGCCGCAGCTGCAGGGTCAGCACTTGAATGAGGTTACAAGGCTGAGCTTGGTTGCATCTTCCTGACCAGGCAAAGCCTCACTGTTTGTTAATTAAACGTCACCTTTTCACTGAGATGTGCCCTGACCAAGCTACTTAAAATTGTAATCTCTGCATACTCGTGATTCCATATGCTGGTATACCTTCTTCTTTACACGGTACTCACTATTTCTAATATAATATGGAATTTATTTTTGTTAGTCTTCAGACTTTTACTGTTCATTGATTGCATGCTGTATCTTTTCCCATCCATATACTTTATCTTTAAAATGTGTCTTTATATTTAAAATGTGTTTGTGTCTCATAGACAACATGCAGGTGAATTGCATTTTTTTCCATTTTGACAATTTTGTCTTCTTAGTGAACAGCTTGTTACATTAAAATTAAATACTTTCATTAATATGGT